TTAAAATTACCCAGCTTATCTATTGATCAAACATTTCAAAATATGAACTAATAGAATCTTACTAGTATCTGTCTGTCCATGCAGTTACCAATTACTGTCAATAATACTTCTACTGGAATGTGTCCATTGTTTGGCTGCACATGTACGCCACCGTACTTAATGGCTACCATGTTGGACACTCACTGACTTATTCTGTCCCACTTGAGGGGGCTATAACAGCACCATAAGCAATTAAACAGATGTATTTAAAAGACACAATTTAGTGTTTCAACTCAGTAACACCTACACGTATGTAGGTTAGTAAATGTGGGTAAATTTTTCTTTTTAAAGTAGTTAGGAGTGGCACTAAAACAATCGAAGACCAAATTTTAAGAAAAAAGACCTCTTACGTTTCGTTTTGTAATGCATCTGTGCACAAAACAAAAGTCCAATTGGCAATTACATAAATTAGGGCTATCAAATGATATTGATGATGGGTTTTATGGAAAGATATGCAAGTGTGAGTGATATTTGGGTCACAGCCCAAATATACAATTTTGACCCCAGATGATCTTTCGTGACCTTAAAATGACCTTTAAATTCAAAATTGACGATGGCATCCACCCACACCTTGTTTGTCATGACATAGATAATTGATTGAGCATAGTTGCCAGCTATTACCTAAAAATGCCATGAAAAATATTTCTAGAGGACTTTCTCAGATTTGGCTGGCCCACTATTATGACAATTTTGTTCTCGGACCCTCTCTTTGTGGTGGACTACGAGTGTACACAAATATCAAATCAATTAGTTTGACCAGAGTTCGAAGTCTGGCAGTTGAAAAACGTGTACAAAACCTATGGGGAAAAATTAAATATTCTAACCCCCCAAAATCTAACGATAACGTCATCATGACGTCATAAATTTGGACGTATTAATGTATCGGGGTCTTTCTGGGCTGTAACTTTGGTTATAATCAAAGATCGCTAAATCACCGAAATATTGTCATGAATACGTGTACAAAGTCAATGGGCTGAAACAAATATCCAAAAATAAATATCAAATCACTTGATGACGTCATCATAACATCATTGCTCTAGACACGTCTTCAGATAAGGGTCCTTCACTGATGTAAGTTTGATGAAGATCCGAAGTTGCTAAGGGACTGAAGTCGGTGGTGGAAGAAACGTGTACAAAACAAAGGGGATTTGGGTCTGAAGAAGATGAAGAAACTAGAGGTCATCTGTCTCTTTGCCAACAGAACAGATCTGGCTTTTTGCATTCCTTTCATTAAGTTGAACAGCAAATCTACTGCACAAACCTTATTTAGGGCGTAATTATTTCATCGTGACCATTCGGGTCCACGGTTTCAACCCAATCAGGCATGTACATGTACTTCAGGAAATAACTAATATGCTTTAAAGAGTGCAGGTACTACGTTGTTTAACTCCTCATCTGATGACGTAATCATCATATCAGGTAAATCCTCGAGTACAACACTTCCTTTTCTATCTGCGAACTTTCAACTCGATGAGATATGAATTTCAGGAGATAGAGGGCTGAATTTTTAAGGTCACAGAACTTGTCACGTGGTGAGGTCAACATTAAATGAGATCAATAATCGTCTAAATCACTTCCTTTCCAAGATATCTGCAAAGTTTGATCCGAATTGGATAAGTACTTCACAAGATATAATGCGTTGAAGAGTGCACCTTTAATGCCGTCAAGATGACGTCATGATCACACCAGGTCAATTTTTGCCTACAGCACTTCCTTTCCAAGATATCAGCAAGGTTTCAACCCAATCAGACGTGCACTTCAAAAGATATATAGTTTTGTTCGTTGGCCCGCCATAGGCATTTTCACTTGATTTGCATGATTGGCGTTCCACAGCAACGCCCCAGCCATACAATTTGATTCACGGAATCATTCAATTGTTTCCCTCTATAACATGAACGGCCCTCCGGCCTGACCATTCAGATGAAGTCTCACACCCCGAGCAATTGCGTAGTTTTCTTACTTGTTTCATTTGCCGCGTTTTCCATTTCTTTATTCACTCTTGCCAAAGCTTATCATTTACGTTATGTCCACTACAAGCGAATGTGATCCAGCCGAAATATTCGACATATTCAAAGATTATTTTGACTCGAAATTCAGCGCCGTTTCAAGGCCCAAAGACGATTCTTCGGCTTCGAAGGAACTCAAGCTAAAGTTGGAGGCTAAAGATCTGTCCCGTCCTGGCAATATCGCACAATTCGAGTTCTGTGCTCAGCTTGAAGTTCTGCTGTATAAGGTTCACTCGGCCATCTCCTCCAACAACTCCGAGGAAGCACTGAAGGCTGTCGAGGAAGGGCTCGGTCTGTTGGCAGATCGGAAAAAGAAAATTCGAATCGCTGATTCTTGTAAGGCCGGTTCTTTTTCGAGGTACTGTAAACAACCCTTAATACTTTGTCAATTTCAACTATCCGTGACACACGACCTCCCCATGCTGAATAAATACACTTGGAAGTACAATCCATTGCCTCTCCTCTCTCCTTAGCGAAGTAGCACGAGCGAAGTAGCACGCTTTGAAGAGTGCACCTTTAATGTCATGTGACAAGGTTCACCCGAGGTCACACATGAGGTCAATAATCGTCTAAATCACTTCCCTTTCAAGACATGCGCAAGTTTTGAACCCAATTGGACATACAGTATATATTGAGGGTCCACGCAAACAGTAGCCAATCCATAGTACGCGAAAAGGATTTTCGAGTTTGCAAATATTCCAAGGGGGTTTTCGTCGTCAGCGCTTCATCTGTGTTAAAGAAGTACACCACTTGTGCACTTCATGCAGTTGACTTCAATGTTATAGCTATCATCGAATGAACAACCCATGCTTAAATCTGTTACGGTTGATTTTTTACCGATTTTTGAACAATAAAAGAACTTTTTATCATAACTTCCGATCTGATGACATTATAGGCCCCAAATTTCACACGTGTTTCAGCCGATTCAGACAAACTTCGCCACCGACATCTAATCAAAATTCATTTCTCAGAATTTTTAACCTGTCGCTACAGGCGCTTGACAATATCGTGACATCTGAAGTAGATGATTTGAAGAATGCTATACCCCGACAGATTAACAATGTTGAAAACAACTTGATACCTATTACCACTTTTAAACAATAAGCCCACTTCTGGTTTCAACCGGAAGGAAGGGTCACATGATTTGACCCACACGAGGTGAATTGAAGACCACAATTATCCTGCCACCTGCTGCAAACAAAATGTTGCGGGAAGCAACGGTTGATTTTACACGGTTTTTTAAAAACTTAACATAATATTCAAATATTAATATTTTAATAATAAATCACTTGATGACGTCATCATGACGTAATTATTTGAATGAAAATCGCTAAGTTACCAAAATGGGGCCTTGGAAACGTGTACAAAGTCAATGGGCTAAATAAATATTAAAAATTCAATAAAAATCACTTGATACAATCATCTTCATGTCGTTGTTCTATGTACATCTTTAAACTAAGGTCCTTTACTGATGTAAGTTTGATGAAGATCCCAAGTTGCAGAAGGACCAAAGTCGATGTGGAAGAAACGTGTACAAAACAAATGGAAGAAGGGAGAAAAAAAAGAATGCCTTTTCGCAAGATTATAAAAAAGCCGAAAACAGATCAAAAAGAACGCCTTTTCGCAAGATTGTAAAAAAGCCGAAAACAGATCAAAAAGAACGCCTTTTCGCAAGATTGCAAAAAAGCCGAAAACAGAACAAAAAGAACGCCTTTTCGCAAGATTGCAAAAAAGCCGAAAACAAAACAAAAAGAATGCCTTTTCGCAAGATTGCAAAAAAGCCGAAAACAGAACAAAAAGAATGCCTTTTCGCAAGATTGCAAAAAAGCCAAAAACAGAACAAAAAGAATGCCTTTTCGCAAGATTGCAAAAAAGCCAAAAACAGAACAAAAAGAATGCCTTTTCGCAAGATTGCAAAAAAGCCAAAAACAGAACAAAAAGAATGCCTTTTTTGCAACTTGCGAAACACTCCCCAAAAAAGGACAAAAAGAATGCCTTTTTCCCAAATTGCCAAAAAGCCAAAAAAGAAACCCAGAAGAAAAAATGCCCTTTTTTGCAAAATTGCGAAAAAGCCAAAAAAGAATGTTTTTCGCAAAATTGTGAAAAAGCCAAAAAAATTGACAAAAATTACTCCTTTTCCGTAGCTTGTGGAAAAGCCAAAAAAAAAGAATAAAAAAGAATGTCTTTTTTGCAAAGTTGCGAAAAGCCTAAACGGACGTAACGCCTTTTCCGCAAAATTGTGAAAAAGGTCAAAAAAGCCCTTGGTGAGAAGAATGCCGTTTTCGCAAAGTTGCAAAGAAGCCAAAAAAAGGACAAAAAGAATGTCATTTATCAAAGTTGCAAAAAGGCCAAAAACGAACAGAAGTAATGCCTTTTTGCAAAATTGCGCAAAAATTGTGAAAAAGCAAAAAAGCCTTTTCGAAAAATTGCAAAAAACAAAAAAACAACAAAACTAAACGAATGCAATAGCTGTTCCGGCTGCTAGCCGAAACTGATAAAAGAAAATAAATTTACCATCCACAAATGATTAAGTATGCTAACCTTAAAATAACAGCACTTCAATATTTTTAGTAAACTCTGCTGCTGTCCATAAAGTCCACGTAGACTCTTCTATACAAAACAGTGTCACTGACTGACTCAGGGACTAGGTCTTGGGGGTGTATGGCATCTCTTTATCTTTCACGACCGTACAGGGTTATTTGAATAGGCAGGAAGTAAGCCGGATGAAGAACGAGATCCCTCGAGTTCTGTACAAGGTCCGCATTTGCTTCAACTCCCGAATCCTTGGTCAACACCACATCACATTCTTATCCTTTTAAAATTCCTGTTGTCTTTTTTCCCCCCAAATCAGTAATTATGCTGACAACAAAAGCCAAAGATTTGACTAAGATTGTAGTTTAGTTGGATGTTAACTCTAGACACACACAGGAAAAAAAATGAGCTGCAACAATTCACTAGACTTCAAAAAAGAATGAAGAGTAGTTTATTTGAGTAACCAAAACGCTAAAATGTCAGAGCTCTTGAAAAACTGTACATGTACAAATAACAACTTGTAAACCTATTTTTTGTGCCTCATCATACAAACTAGTGCAACACTGCCAAGAACCAAATTATGAAGCAGTAATTTCTTGTTTTAATGAGTACCATGCCGAGAGAAATGAAAAATACCAACAAGTACAGTATTTCCCTCTCATGATTTATAAAAAACCGAAAGATGGAAATTTTATTTTCTGTAAGGCAATTGGCAGGCCAGGAGATTAGCAGCAATGTTTGATCAGATTGCTGATTGGCTTAAGGGTCAGGCTTGTAAAACTATGTCAAGGGAAATATTCAAATAGCTTCTAAGCACACCGACAAAATATCTGTTCGGCAGACGCAGGTTTTCTGCCAAAACGTCAGTTGATGCATATTGCTCATTTCTCAGTGGATTTCTGCTATTCCTGCTGTTACTGGGCCCTTAAAATCCCACGATACTCCAGGCCAGCCCTTCTGACCAAACCTTCTTACCCCTAAAATTGTAAAAAAAAAAAGCATAACGGACAAGCTCCTCAAACCTTCTCTCTGCTCAATTCTACAGGCAAAAAGTAACTTGCAGTTGAACAGAAATTCATGATGGTGACAAAGATTTAGAATGAAAAATTTTACATAATTCTTTTCAAACAAATTTTTTCTAGAATGACCAACTACATTAAAATACCGGGACTTAAAAAGCGATGTCACCCTAGACAGAGAATTTGTATCCCAAAAGGGCATTGCCCTGCAATAAGAATATTTCTCTGAAACATTTCATGGAGACCTGGTGCTTTATGTAAATGAAGGTCATGACCAAAGTGACATCCATGACCTGCGACACCCATTTTAGGATGTTCAGAACTTCCAGTCCTGCAAGTACTGAAACAAACATGCTCCTTCTGAAAAGCAGTATCAAGTGACTTGCCACACGTAGACACTATCCAATCAAATCACATGACAAAAGCACAAGTTTATGTCCATTTGCGAAAGCGGTCACATGATGATCAGCAGTCCTTGCTACTGGTTGACTCAATCTTCACATGATTTCTCCAAGATAAATTTGCTTATCACTTGAGCAAGACAGAACTGCAGACAAGGAAAAATAAACTAAATTAGAATGAAAATTTAAATATCTTCTCATATGAGGACACACTTTTATAAATATTACCAGAGAAACTCAAACAAAAAAGTTTCTTACTGATTGGTTCATGAGGATGGAAGGCTACATCGTTGACGGACCCCGAGTGGCCTGGCAGTTTATACAAGATACGTCTTGAAGTTGTGTCCCACACATACACAAATCGATCGGCAGATCCTGCAGCTATTTTGCTTCCATCTGGAGACCAGGCACATCTCAACAAGTTCTGAAACACACAACAGAGAGAGTTACTCTCAGTCTCTATGTGCTACATGTATACCTAGGGCACTGAACGGCTTATTCACAACGGCCAATTAAAGACACATCATCATGACACACAATGGTGTTCAATGGGTATAGCAGATACAGCGTGGCTGCGGGTGTCTAATGACATGGCTATGGCTAAAACTAAACACTGCAGACGTGAAAGCCAATGACTTGCACCTGCAGCCATTTCCCATACATGCACATCTCACCTCCTGTCTTAGCCCAATGATCTAGACAAGTGTCCTCACATCACAGGAGGTACCTTATCGGCAATTGCAAGTGCCCCTGAAAGTGCCTCATTAAGGCATTTTTGTAGTACTTTCGCTAAAACACTGAGAATTGAGGAACCTTTGTTGATTCTTTTAGTTTTTCAGGGCAGAGAAGTTGAATTTGTGTTACAGCATCTCCAAATGTCCATAGTTTTTTGTGGTCCGTGTAAAGACCATTATAAGTGCACTGCCACTGCTGCATTATCTTTCATAAATACAATGTACAATGCATGATTAACGGCGGAGGTGGTCAACTGAACCCCCAAAACAGATTTTTAAGAGGACAATTAAAAAAAAACCATTACATGAGAATTGACACAATTTTTTTTCTCTGCTTCAATGACAGCTCAAGTGCATACTATCTCCTGAGTTGTTTCACATTTTCTTGAACGGCAATGAAGCACTGTTATCTTTACATGAATTAGCAAATTTGGTCAGAAATTTGAATTCGGTATTTACTTATACAAAGTCCTGCAATGAAAGAGGTAGTTTGCATTAAAGGTGACAATTGCTGGAACACCATTCCAAACAAAAAATGAAGGGATGACCTTAGCCTCATACATAAACAAGCAAATTCATTTTCAAATCGCAGGATGGCAGACCAGAACTAATCTGCCAAACAATGGCGGCCTTAGATGATGTTGTCATAAATTTCAAAATACAGTTTGGTACTTGACGCTGAATTTAATACCCAGTGCTGGCTAAAAATGGCACTAGCACTCATCATGTCTGCTCATTTTCTAAACATTACCACTGTACTAATATGGTACATTTCCAAGCAGATCCACTCCTCACAGGTGCTAATACTCAACCCACTGAAAAAGTCAAGGTATAAACCCAGCTTGATTAGTCAACTCGGTAATGGATATATAACAATTATTTACATGTTGTCTTTTGAAAATTTCCCTTGAGATAAAGGTGTACTATTTCTTGTCAACTTCCTATAAATTGACTGTTGATAAAACTGAAATATAGGTGGAATGCAAAATGATTCACGAAAATTCTGACATGTACAATGTGACAATCAAATGACACATTTTCAATATTTTATTCTGAGTTTTAAGCATCACCATTGGGAAGATGCCTGTTACTTTCATTACCAAAGTGTGACAACATGTATTCAGGAAAGATGGGTATTCATGTAATTAAATGTAGAAGTCACAGAACCAAAGTGTGAAAGTGTATCTAACTTAAAAAACTATCATTTCAGAGGTACCTTTCACTTGCATTATTAAGCATGACTGTCCAGAAATTGTGGAACCACGATTACCACAACCCAGGAACCTACACAAATCAGTACACGAAACCTGATTCGACAGGCAGGAGCACACATTTGACTTTTTACATAAACAGCAGATGTTATTCAAGATCTCAGATGACACTGGAGACTGTTATCCATACAATTTTCATCACTTCGGTTCCAATTCTCTGTCCACGATTGGATGGAAAGGGCTGTTTTATGAACTGTTGGAGCATCCTCCAATGGGCCCTGGCTTGATAGTTGGCCAACTTTGAGTTTAGGGGTACAATGCTTTTGATGATGAAAAGGAGTTTCAGGTGAATGTCCTCAGCCACTCTGGGAAAGTTTTCAAGTGTTTTGTTCCTCCAAATAGCCGGCCAACCATACCATCACTGTCTCAGCAGCTCTGGCACCAACCTCAGATAGTGTAGGTGGTAGCTTAATATCAAGGTTATTATGGGCCCTAAGTTCTTCTCGCAGAGTCACTACAGGGGAGCACAACTTGTGAAGATGAGGCCGGAGAGGGGAGGAGAGAAGAGTGTGTCCACTTGATTGGCAACATTGTCTCACTGACTGATGACAGTATCTGAGTCATAAACCCGATGACCAGAACTGTTTAATGTACATGTATGGTCCAACATCAGATTTGTCAACGAAGACAAATTGACCAGCTGTGGGCTTCCAAGGAGGATGAGAGGAGAGCCGGAGGTACTTCTTCAGGTCTCCATTTAGGGTAGAGAGTACTGAAAATGAATAAAAGAGAATAATTGACAAAACTGTACACCAAGACGCAAGACGGATTGGAGCAATAAACACAGATAACAAAAAAGGACAACATGACAACATAATGTATTTTCATTAAAATTTTATCCCCGTGTGGCCTCTTTGGAGGTAGGTAGAGCAATGGTTACCTTTGGCAGCTCTGAGTGCAATGTACATGTATTATGAACTAGGACCCTGGCATATACATACAGTTACTAAATGCTAAACTTTCCTTTTCTTTCCAAACATAAAATAAATATATCAAGGACAAATTTTAGCCCTTCAAATTAGGATCTGAAGCCCTTCCCCCCTCGGCTGTAGCACTGCATACATCAGAATTGACTATTCATTTGCATATGTCAAAGAAACAGTGCTCACCACTTGCTGTCTTCATTTCCTTGTGTGGCTATACATCACTTTCGCACATCTTTGGTAGCAGTCCTTGAGATATCTGACGTCATTTGCATTGCATACCTTCCCTCTACCAAAGTGAATATGTCATGCACACAAGTATGTGTGTGACAGGCATCAGCGCAAGAACCAGCGCATGAATCTGCATAAGCACGTACTCGATTTGTTTGCGCTACACTTGCTGGCTCAAAATGGCATCACACTTTGGTACTTCATAGAAAAGCTTTTACTGTTGCTTCAGCAGAACTACAAAGCATACCTACACACACAAAACAAATCAGACAATCAAAATAGTCACTATATTCAGCTTATAACTCAGAAATTATGAGAGGTCACGATTCAATTTGACACATTCCTGATTTTTTTCTCATCTTTAAAACGTTAGAAAAAAATAACAGAGGTGTCTCAGTAAATGGACATACCAATGTCATTAAATTACCATATCAGAGAGTACACCACTGATAGAGGGCCAAACAAGCCGTGGTAAAGTCAAAAATTGCAATCAACATGACCAATATTTTCAGAGCAATACATCAATACAACAGATTTATCAACTGCAGTAATACTCACCACCATTAACACTTTCTGCAAGGCACAGCTTGTCGTTCACTTGTTTCTGTCTACCAGGATGATGGAGAATCTCCCTCAAATTTGCAAATAATGCAAGAAACTGGAAGTGTTGTTCTACTACCAGCAGTTGAGTTGCCAAAGCTGTAACCCTGTGTGCTTTGGTGATGTACTAAGTGCTCTTTTTAGTTTGTGGACAGTTGAGCCACAATCGGTTCCCGATTCAATGTTTTGCTTCTTGCGTGTGGTTTCTTTGCCTCTTAATCAGGACTTTTCGTAAAACAACTTGCATCCTCTCCTTCCAAGTTTTACCGCTGTAATGTGTACATTTTTACTTCTAATACTCCACCTTTTTTCTGAGAACTGCATAACGTACATATTGTCCTATCCCGCAGAGTGCAGCAAGCACTCTGGTCTTCTGATTTGTGGACTTGAGATCACAACAAAATATTATCTGGTTCATCATGTCCGTTGTTTTGAACAAAGCAAAAAGCCGATTTGACAACAGTCACCAGGTCCATAGAATCATGAGTGCAGGCAACTTAAAGAGGATTTCTCCCTACTACTGCACACTCATTGATGTAAAGTTGCTTAATCCATCATTTATACAGTGCTTCACGGGATGGAAGCGTCCTACATTCAAAGCCCACTGGTACATAAAAAGAACCAAACTTGAATCGTGAATATTTTAAAACTGCAGGAAATTAGGAGTTGCAAATATAAACTTTCCATTTAACACTTCCCGATCTGTTGAAATGCGGTTCAGTTTCCTTAGTTCTTGAGGATACACCATGAGGCTAAACAATATGAGGGGTCATGAAACTGCTTCTTTATAGCAAAGGCACGTGCACTGAAGTATTAGGCTGCAGAGTATGTTTGTAGCGAGATGAACTAACACATTACCTGCTCAAAATTGTGCTGTGCTCCTTGGAATAGCTTCACACATCGCTCCTGGGGTGCAAACGGTCTGATATCCCAGATTCTTACTGTCAAACGGGAATTACAAACAGAGAAAACTGAAGCCCAGAGGGAAACTAACCCCTTGAGTCCTACATGCGATGGATGTTGTGGGCAGATTCAGCAAAACTTCCAGTGATGAAAATATAATATCAATATGATTTTGAGTGAGGCATTGCAGTGGTTTGTCAGAGACTAGTGCCCAATGACTTACATGTGTTGTCCATGGAATTTGACAGCAGATATGACCCATCTCCACTGAGTGACAGACCCGTCACAGAGTCTGTGTGGCCTGGCATCTTGTAGAGCAAACCATTTTTCCGAAGATCCCATACCTGATGGTGGAAAAATTACAGCAAGTCTTGAGAATAGCTGCTGCAGTAGACAACGTCTCATGGAGCATATCGGTGAAAGCGATGCTTGGGAGTTTGTATCCATTGTTGACTTTCTTGACACATGTATCAATCTATCAACACCAGAATCGAATGCTATGTACATGTATCTCTGTTACAACAAATGCAACATATCTGATGTGATGCTGTGCCATGTACCTTGATGTCATTATCAATGCCAGCAGAGATGATCTGATCACTGGTGTCATTGAAAGTGACGGCTAAGACTTGGTAGGTGTTCTGAAAAGTCTGGACCACACCTCGCTTCCGACTGTCCCACAGCTAAAAATAAACAAGAAGTTAACCATTTCAGTTCTCACACAATCAACTATTTATCTGCAATTTTGCTAAGTGTTGAATCAGACTTTTTGACCAGAATCTAGATTTTCTCTTCTCCCTTGGGTTAATATTACATTAAAGTTAAGCATGCATTAAAATGCATTGTAAGTCTTTCTAGAAGACCAGTCAGTGGCCAGATAACAGTCGCTGTCCAGAAAACAGACTCCATGCAAGAGCGACAGATCAGTGGAACAAAATGAGCACTGATGGACAAAGTGAAGGGCGTTCAGGTTGAAACGTACAGAAGATTTCGGATACCTTTATTGTGCCATCATCTCCCCCGCTAACAATCAACGATGGGCCTCTTCTGGCTGGAAACACAGAATTGACAAAGGCGGTGTGACCGCGCATCTTCTTGATTCGGACACCGGTTGCCGTGTCCCATAAACACAAGAGCTTATCAGTGCTGCAGGACACCAGTTGCCTGAGAAGACAATGGAAAGTTAGACATTGGAAGAGCTACATGTACATGTATGCAGCTTAAAGTGAACACCACGTGGGCTGACCTTGGTAACTGTCAGCAGCTACTGCACAGGTGCATTAGCAATCTGACTTGGTGATCTTAAAACTGCGCGGGTATTTCAATAATCTGATTTATAACTTTCAAACTTCTCATTACATGTATAAAAGTCAAGGAAGTCTTTGCAAAACAAAGCAAAGGCACAGTAGCCCTAACTCTCCTTAATCCTCCCAAATCCTCTTGGTGGTTTTGGAGGAAATTGGAGGATTGCGCCTTGAGGAAGAATGGCAGAAAGGTGTGGCTGATTGCAACGGATGCATCGTGTCAAGGTTGTGGGTTAGACCTTGTATTGCTCAGGATCAGTGCATAAATTCATGTTAAGATTGCACATGAAATTATTCATAGCAGGGGGCATATGGCCGAGTCGTTAGGGTTTGTAGCTTCTGATCATAGGGTTGGGGGTTCGAATCCAGCTGGTGGCAGCATGTTGTGATCTTAGGCAAGTCGCTTTACCCCTATGTGCCTCTCTCCACCCAGGAGTAAAATGGATACCTGTGAGGGCAGACACGGTCATGTTTAGCCGTTTGCGCCAAAAATGGCTGCATTAGGCTAGTATACTCCCCAGGGAGCTGAGATGGTTTCAGGAATGTTCAGATGATGTGAGCCCAACGTGCAAGGATAATAATAAGCGCACATTCCATGATACGCGCCGACTATCATTAACCCTAACCCCCTAGGGTGTACGTAAATTCGTATTGAAATTGAAGGATTTGGGACTGTTAGGGTTATTATTATTGGCACTGCCTCAACACAATGATAGAGGATTCTGCTGGATTGAGGCAGTGGGCACCCCTCAAAAGGAGCATATGCAAGCAATATAGGAGGATTTGGGAGGACTGGACTGATTGCAATCCTTTTGCAAGGATAATTGCAGGAACTTTAAGAATTGAAGAAGATGCCTAGCAAACAGGCCTGGGGGTATTTGGTAGGCAATATGAGGGTTTTGGCTTTTACATCTTACCCATCAGTTGTGTATTGTATTTCCATAATTGCACCCTGATGTCCACTGAGTACAGCATAATTGTCACATTCACCATAGACACTCCACATAACTAAACAGAGATAAACAAAAATAACATGATAGGACTGGAATGTTAACCGCACTGGCCAAATCTAAGACCCCTTTATTTTTCATAAATTCCAGTATTTTGATGGGCATTCAGGACTGCGTAACATGCAAAGTTTTCAACCACATACACGTTAATGTTTAAACTGATGACTCTATCTATAAATGTACGATTAGATTTACAGCAGGGCAAACACTAAACAATACCGTAACTTTCAGAATATGGGCCACAGGTTATGCTTTGATTCTCAAGCTGAAAAATGTCTCTACAGCTCATACAAGTATGCTGGGTGGCTTATAAGGCTAACTTTGGCTATGGCTAAAATCAGTCACAAAGGCTGCAACCGGGCCACGCGTACCAGGTGTACCACTTGCAGGTGGTGCGGTCATGTTTTTATTGGTTGCTGTTTACATCTGAAACCTCAAACAATAAATAAACATTTGAGTTGTCTGGATTTCGAGTTATTAATGGAATTTCCCGATTCATGGAGTCAAAAAACACATACATGAATTGAGTACACAGGCCTAATCTTAAACTTTACTTGCTCTGCTGCCATGGCAACATTTTTTAGTGATTATTTCCCACTTTTTATTCAATCTCATGGTGTATTTTTTGCAGACAAATAATAATTTTATTAAGATTTTTATTTTATTTTATTTCATTTTATTTCTATTTATTAGCCACATCCAACAGCAGAAATACTGCCAATTACAGGAATGGAAATAAATAAACTCACATAAAAAAAGCCATTTAAATTGTGATACATAATTGCTAAACAAAAATACTAGATAATAAAAAATGGATATGTGTGTACATGTACATGTATAAATAGAGAATAACAAAAAAAATTAATAATTATTGTTGTAACCTAAAGATTTCTTTCTATCATGAAATAAAAAGCAACCACACGTCTTCCTGTGGCAGATCTTTCATCTTTTCACTGATCGTGTTTAAAGTGGCATGCCACAGAATTTGTTTGGTTTTTTCACTTGGGTTTTCTGATGAGAACACTTTCTGTGGTCATATGGTTATTGACATGAGTCAGCAATTGGACTGTCCATGAATGGGTCTTTGATAGCAGTCAGGCTAGCCTGAAGGCAGGGTTTACACGATCGCGGTCGTGGCAGATTTTTCATTTCTAATGGTTGCAGAGATATTTTTCTTTAAATCAAAGCCTATCCTTTTGGCAAGAAATACCGCAGTCAGCGTACAAGACAAAACAATCTTTCGACTTCACTGACTTTGAGTTACTAAGATTTTATATGTCCCCGACTGAATAACTTTTACTGGCCACTGGAAAAACGGGCAAAAGCTGATGCACGGCCAATGCAGCACCACAGCCCACAAAAAGTATTAAGTTTGAGAACTTCAATTCACTTTTTATGGTGACAGTCGTTCGCATTTTGCTTGCTCTTATTAGGATTGAAGTTGCCTGTGTCGTGGAACCATTGATATACTGTACATGCTACATTGGCGCTTCAGCATGCAGCACAATGAAATTCGTGGTTGGATCGTAAGTGCTGCAGAGCGGCTTATACACTTGTGTGACTTACACGTCAACTTTAAATCTTAATTTACTGATTTTTGCAAACTGCTACTGATACACTGAGCAGCTTATATTCTAAAAATTACAGTACATGTACCTTCCTTATCCCAAAACCAATTAGTTTTCTCAGAGTCTGCAGTTACATGTACATGTACCACTCAACAATCTCACACTTTTCTGAAAACCACCACACATCAGCAGAGTTTCTTGCACTGCGGTACTCTGGATTAAAACCAGCTAAACCTGGTGTACACTGTTCCCTGCCATTTTTTTTCCCAACGTGGGTCATTCTATAAATTTGAGGTTCATGTTACACCTGACAGTGACTGGTGACTTTATAGGTTTAGAACACATTCAATTATTTCCAAGAGTAATTAAGTAATGCAAATAACCAGCCATACAAATAAAAAATAGTTCAAATCCATGCTAATCATATCCTTTGTCAAATTACACAGGTCAGGTGTAACGGGGACCAAAAAATACGTCACATGTTGGATACAGATTGACCCACTGAGTGACTGTTTCTGCTCCATCTGGCATGGGGAAGGTAAAAAAGACATAACCAGCAAAACTTCACAAGTAGACGAGGAGACTTACAGATATTTCTGTCAAATGACCCTGAGGCCAATGTGTTCCCATCCGGATGGAATTTGGCGGTGAAGATTTCTGCTCCATGGCCGGTGAGGAGCATGATGGGGGCTAGAAGGCTGGATGTACGTGGAGGACCCTGAAATTTACACATAACGAAAACAAGATGTGAAAAGGGTTCTGTGGAAGCTACTCTTGTACCAAGGGCAACTATTTACACCCGCTTGTCTTGGGTGCAATCCAAGGATAAGTTTCCTATTTGTTGTGCACTGCTTCATTCTCCAAGATATTAGCTTGACTGGGGGGGGGGGGATGGAATCTTGCGCACGCTACATGTGTATGCTGCCCTGTGAAGCTGTGGATTGATATTCAAGCGCAAACCATATATATACTTGTAATTTTGCCAATTACCCATTTTCAGAAGAGACTTAAATTTTTGCGCATTCCTTCACTGGGAACCAACGTGGTGTGGGAAGATTCTACCCATGGGAATGAGGTTACGTTATTGGACTGGTCACCATCCCTATTATACGTTTGAAGCACTGGAATGGAATGGGAACCAGTCTTCTGCGTCAACAGACATGCATCACAGCATGCAGTTCAAATGTGCGGCTCATTTACAATGTAAGTGAGGCAGGACCGTAAGTAAAAGGTCTGAATTTTGCCAAAAGAGCTCATAGAGGGTAAGAAAAAATTGAACATGCATATCAATGAGATGTTATTTAGTGTGGATGGCTTATGACATGTTTGGGGAAGATTTAATTAACAAGGTGCAGTTTTAGGCAAAATTAACGGGCACATTCAGAATCACATAGCGTTTCAAACCAATGAAAATTTGAACTGTAAGTCACACAAAGTTCTTGAAGTACTGCATATGTGCCTGGGAAAATATCGTTTAGTCCTATAAATTTGCCAGTACTGGGTGAATATACATTTTGTTTTGTGGGGATTACTAAAAATGTTATCAGTTAACCATGTTAACCCACAGAAAATTGAAAAGAAATTGAAAGATTAGGGACCAGACCAACCCCAGACTTGGGGCCAGTCTACTAGACTCCCTCCGTATCCTAGACCCCATAGCAGTCCGTTCAAAAAGGGGAGACTCTCCGAAAATGCCTTCTATGAAACTCCTTTTGCATACATTACATCACTCGCGCCATTAATAATCTGATGATATATTACTTTGGGCAATTTCCAATGTGTAGAACTTAAAGTCTAGAGGGGATCTACGTAATAACACTGTTTGGTTCCCAGACCAAACAGATCCCGACTGTGTTTGGCATCGGTCAGTGACTGGGAGTTAATCGCTGTGGTGAACGAATAGCCCAAATTGAAGCCAAACAGGCCCAATGTACATGCACACCTCTAGTGTCCGGATACCGGGCAATAGGGCTACTTCACAATGTAGGCTGGGTAATGTGAACACATACCGCTGGAACAACGCTCCCACCCACGGAAGCAGCGACTAACTCATTTCTGGGTCGCTTCACTGCAACCAAAGCTTGATCCTCTGCTTTTCTCTTCACTTCTATCATCGCTAATTTGTCAGTAGGTCTATACTGCTACTGTAGTTTCGACGAAAACAAACCGTTCAGCGCAAAGCCACGCTGAAGTACTCGCACTCAACCTCGATTCCATGGGCTGCGTGTGCCTTCTTCCAAGGCATGGTGGGAGCCATCACGGTGAGACAAGGTCGTACCCATGGAAACGAGGTTGAGTAGCACTTCTTACTTGCTCCCCGCTGAGAGCGCTATTCAGAATAATCAAGCGCTGATGCAAAATTTCCTATGAGATTTCGCTCCCCCAAACTTTGTCCCTTGGTAGCGGTAATCGCCCTAATTATGGGAAATAAATCAAGCACATTGATGTCGTAAATACACCTTTCAGGAAAATCTCTATTGTTATGACCATTAAAGAGTAACGCGTTTCCCAAGACCCCATCTTGCGTTCAAGGTTTAATTCGATTGCGACTGAGATGCCTAGCTGCTTGCCTTTGGCTTTATGAGAGGTCTATCTGTATCCTCCTCTGTATGTATAGTCAGCAAGGCATCCATAAGGCCAGATGACGCATCACACCAATTGTATAAAGTTTGCACTTCAAAAGGGGGGGGGGGTTGAAGGAAGATTAGTTTAAACAGATCGACCCATCAATGAAGAAATGCCCAACTGCTTCCTTGAAAGCTGACACAAATATTGCATTAGATTGTGGCATGTAGTTCCAACCCTTGATTGCAGGCCTACTGGGAAAGAAGATATTTAAAAAAAAAACCTTGGGGCGTGTACGGATTTACAGTTGTTTTTGTATGACCTCTGGAGATTCTGACATTTGAGTGAGGATACCATCAGACTAAACATCGACCAACTTGCTGGTTACCTTGATCATCATGGATAACCTGTGATTTTACACACGCCGTGTCTCAAGGGATGGCCAATCAAGTTCCTTGAGTGTCTTTGTCACGGTTCTAGGTGATGTAATATAGTTGTTGGAAATAAATCTAGCGGCTTGTCTTCGAAACTGTTCGAGACAATTAATGTCAGACACCAAGTGGGGATCCCAAGTAGATGATGAGTATTCCAGCAATGGTCGAACCACTGTGTAGTCTGTTTCTTTGACCTTTGGAGTACAGCTCCACATATTCCTCCTCGGGATATATATTACCCTCTGGGCTTTCTTGGAGGTATGAATTTATGTACTAGGTTCTTGCCTTGAGGAGTTGTTTTTTTCATAGCCTCGCGAGACTGTTTGAAGGCTTGCTAATCTTTTTCCTCATTTCCTTTTTTGCTTTTTTGTAGATACGTCTTTTTTTCTGTTTTCTGTGTTAAGATCATTACTGAACCACGGTAGATTATATGTACTTGATGAGAACTAGTAAGGTACATGCTTTTCCAAAAGATCAAGTAGTGCCTGTTGGGTGTGCTTCCATTGAAATCTGGCGATTTTCCTTCTGTTGGTGCTTTGTAGATTGCTGACAGGCCTTAATGTCATTTAGTATCCCTTTTGTGTTTGCTTTTTGCCTCATATAAACTTTCCTATTGAGTTGCTTCTGCCTCTTTAAAGCTACATCAATGTCAACTAGAACCATGTCGTGGTCAGAAATTCCTTCCACAATCTCAGTGTTTCGCTAATTACACCTTTGTTATTAATGAGAACTAGAACAAGGATGTTACGTGTGTCTCACAGCTGTGACCGAGTCGGCTCTTTGAAACCATATTGTGATCTTGATGAGCCTATCTCCAGCCGTTTTACTAAGACGTTGTGATCCTGTAACAAAGTAATCGTTCCAGTTTGTGTTCGGCAGCTTAAAGTCTCCCAAAATAACAACATTGGAGTTTATTTCCCTTTAAGTGTAGCCACAGATTTCGTCAGCTCGTCAACTTGACTAAATTTATCCTCTGACGATCGATAAAATGTTCCAATCATGACTACTTTGGATTTACTTTTTTTGGTTTCCGTTCATATAACTTTGCAATTACTCTCCATGTTGGAACATTCAAGATTCAAAATTCAAATTTATTATTGTCCATGCAAAAATTCACATAGAAATTTACTTTCCATTGGCTTGTTGCAAGCAGTAAGTTATTGCATTCATCATNACAATCACACTCAATAACAAAACAACAAGATTGCATTAAACTAACATAAATGGCAATCACAGTCTAAAAGGATAATGATTTCCTAATTGATATTGCATATTCTCACCCTTTATTACCAATGAAAGTGTGTCGAGGGGGAGATATCCAAATACATAGTTACCGCCTCACATTTGCATAATATGAGTGAATTGAATTGGGAATAGATGACTGTCTGTATCGAAGCCGATGTGTGATGTGAGGGGGGGGGCACAGACGAATCCCAGAACCTGTAACATTCGTTGAGTGGACGGGTTATGTCTGACATTATCTTTTGTACTTTGGCAAGAAGACAAGTGCCAAATGCTTGGACAGGGGTAAGTTCTTGGCCTATTAATCTCTGTGCCATTTTCCGAGTACGATCTAGTCTGCCCTTTTGTTCTTTGTTCAAACTACCAAAGGTTCAAATAAAATTAAAGTAACCACACTCTGAACATCTGATTGATAAAAGAGGGTCATGAGACACCAACTCGGTTGAAACTGCGTGGAACACCCCCCCCCGTGGTGTTTGTGTCTCTATCCTTTCTGAAGACTTTGTAGGTAGATGGGAGTATCTCCTCACTCTTAATGGTTGAATTAAGCCATGACTCTGTACCACAAATAATATCTGGTTGCTGCACCTTTATGAGGACTTGAAGATCAGTATTCGTCTCTAACACTTTGATAGTTGATCAATAAACATCGTCCACCGACAGTGTGTTGGTGGCCCCCCCATTGATTGAGATCAAAACGCGCGTGCCCTCGAGGTTTTTGGATTATTGTTATTGGACAGGGACCCTGCAAAATGCCTTTCCGTGTTTCATAAAAACATGAATGGTAGACAAAATCTTTTGTTTTGTATTTTTTTAATTGGTAAAATGTACGCAAAAAAGTAGGCCTATTGCGCTCTTTAGAAAGAGCGCCCTTATTAACCCTAAAAGAGTGGAGGGGGCACTATTTCGCCCCTTGAGATTTTTTTCTACTACCGCTGAAGCGCATTTTTCAGGAACTGAATCTTGAGGTTTTTCACAGCAGCTTTTTGTAGTCATTTCGACGCCAAGTATGGGAAAACGGAACATACGGATGTTGCGCAGCGCGCTTTTTCGAGAAAGGTCAGCCAAGAATAAATGTTTCCACTGCGGTGCTGAATACATGAAGGCTCGCACGCAGTATAGCCTTGAACTTCAAATGACTATGACAACAGAACTATACGTCTGATTGAGTTCAAACTTCACATTATTGAAAGGGCTTTACAAATCGATCTTGGCACAACCGAGTTCTTGGGGGGGGGGCGCCCCCAGCTGTAAAATGGGCCAAAATAACCCGGCTCTCAATTCTGTCTTGTCCCCCACACGGCAAAAAATGTGCTAAGCCACGCTCTGTAACCTCAACTCGAGCAGAGGCAAAACGTCAAGCGATGTTTACGGGAAAAAATCCGAATGCACAATCAAAAAGAAGAAAAACACAGAAGCATAAGCGTCCAAATACCAGAGTCATCAACGTTTTTATTGTAAAAAAAAATTCATTTTAATCTCTTATTTTGAAAATAACACCGTTCATCATTTTCATTCAAAATTAAAATATGTATGTATGATTAGACTTTGATAGAAAACGTTAATCATAAAGCTATACATCAACAAAGAATATAAACAACAGTACATGTAACCATTAATGTGTCTTCACTTAGAACTGCGTTAAAGGTAAAGGTTGGCGACAATACCATGGAAAAGCATCTCGTTTATATTTGTGATTCTCACCAGAACACACAAAAGACACGGTGCTACTGTAAACTTTACCTTTGCTTGCCACCTTAATTATGAAAAACTCTAAATCTCAATAGAACTGCAGTAACAATCAATTTATCACCAATTCCTATTCATTTCATCAAGACAAAACATCTCAAACCGTCACCAACGCCACAAACTAAAATTCATGTCCAAGTGGGTGCCAGTTCGTGGAACCCGCGTCATCATCAATAACTCTGGTTTAACGTCCGGTACCGGTAGTGCGCGAGCACATCGCACACTGATGTGGACTGACTAATTTTCGTTTCCAGGAACTGACAATTGAAGCCTGTTGCGGCAATACAAGAGCAGAAAAATAAGCTTTGAACGGTTCGGCATTAATTTAATTTCATCCACATGGTTGTACCCTTCCAGAGAAATGAAATAAAAAACGTTTTAACTGGTGAAATTATTAAAATCAGTGTAAATGCATGAAAACGAAAATGTAAGGAAGGCGCACTGGACGTGCCCCACTGAAATTGAAATAAACCCGATTCTGTGAAATACACGCCTACTGGCAGGCGGTAAACTCACGCACAACTGAGGGTCAAGTTGGTGGTGTCGGTGACGAAACAATACGAGCGATTCACAATAATTGTGCGCCTCCAAGAGTTTGCAATGCGTTGGCCAATCACAACGCGCGAAATCTGTCAACCCTTTCCAAACACGCCGGGTCGACAGATTTCACGGATTGTGGTTGGCCAACGCGTTGCAAACATTTTGGAGGCGCACCATTGACATCGCCTGTATACAATCGATGTTGGCACGAAAATCATAAAAGGAATCATCCAAATTGACCAGTTAAATGATGGCGTCAGTCATTTACGCTAGCCTAATAATTCTACAGTTTTGTGAGAGTTGATGCAGGGAGGGTTCCCCATTGTTTACTCTTGTACACTCAAATTCTACAGAATTGTACATTAATTAATTTCCACAATCTCACGAACGTTTCCCATAATAGTTGACAATAACAAGTTAAACTCACACACAATGTTTTGAAACCTGAGGAAAGCAACAGTGGAGGCGGTAATTCTGAACACTGTCAACAGTACCACGATGCTCGTCATATTAAGGTACATGTGTATAAATATCAACGAAGTTTCCCGAAATGATAAATTAGCTTTCATGAATTTAGTAAAAGTCAATAAATGTACATTTCCCATTGTGTCAAAGACCATTCTAACACCCAAATTAACAAGAACACAAATAAAGTTAAAAAGAAAAAACAAAGTAATTTCCTTATTAAGACGTAATGCCATTCGGGATAAAAGCACGTGATTCTAGCTAACTGGCAGGACTGATCTCTTGCTCGCTTCCCAACTGATCATTCCAATTGATGATTATAAACCACAGAACAGAATTCTCAACTGATATACGTGTAGGCTATGTGGAGGAAGATAACACCCTCGAACACAGATGTTGAAACAAATTGTACACGACATTGAACACATACCAAGAAAGACCTATAACGCGCTGTGGGAATCGCATTTGATCGTGCACATTTTTTGGCGTTTCAGCCAATCAGAGGTTTGCACTTTTTTGTGCATGTTTTCTTTTCCTCTAACCGTCATAACCAAACGAATATTTAAATTAATAGATAAACCTGAAAAAATTGCGAGTTACCTGGAGTCCCTTTAAGCTGAATTTTCTTTTAAAACCGCATTCTGATATGACCATTGGAATGATCCAGTGATGAGGTAGCACCATGCGGGGTGAAGGTTAAAGTATTAGTTCTCTATCATACATCTTCCCAAAATGCATCATACGAAGAGAACAGTGCTTGTCCTGTAGTTGGTTGTAGTTCCAAAGGACTTATGTAAATATAGGTCTATGGAATGTTTGAACTCTTTTGAATTACAAAGATAAATATAATTGAAATGTTACTGTGCTGAATAATTATTTGTCGAGCTTGGACACTTTATAGTTGGCAGTATATGCTAGGATTCGAACTCTCCACCAACCTCTGTACACGATGACAATGGTACCTTGTCTTCAATGAGTACTTTTGACAGTTATTTTACAGTTTGCATTGAAGCATCAACGGTGATAAATAAAGATTAAAACCACCACTGCTCTGGTCTGGTTTCAGCCCCATCTAGCACACTTCCTCAAGGAAACCACCCCATTTGACTTTGAACGTGCCAGTCCGCCACGTGACCTTGTTCCTCACGCAACCTTTCAGAAAATGGTACAATGTGGTGCACTCGCGGTAGGCCCAGGCAACTGCAAAATCAAACTTGTTGAAGTTTAAAGGTTCCGTCTGTAAATAAACAAAGAATAAAAAACCTTTGATAAACGTTCTGCCTGGACCAAACATCGGGCCCTCGATCAGATTCTTTTAAAAAGGAAAATAAGGTTTTAAACATAACCTATAACTGACTAGGTGTCAAACCATTCGAAGTATCAGACACTGATTTGTTCTCTTCACAAATCGAAATCCAGGAATTTAAACTGTGAACTAACAGGCTACGTAACTTGATTTTTACAGAGTAACCCGTTGAAAACGTGGACATTTCGACCATTTCCCCTAAACAGGACTTTTGCCACCCTCTTAACTGAGAGTTTTTTAGCTTCTCACCTGTAAAGCATAGAGTTGTATATAATCCAACAGGAACCACTGAAGAACATGTAGCATAATGAACAGAATAGGGTCGAAATTGAATAAATAATAGACGGCCCAGGCACAGCATAAACCGCACACTAACATCTCAGAGAATGGCTCTAGTATGATGGTGGACGGTACAGAAGAGGTTCGTACGGTTGTCCATCTGTATACCAAGCAAACGAAAGGAACCAATCAACATTGGGAACTCGACATAAATAAAATAGTTAATTTGAAAATCAAAACGATATCATGCTTTTCGAATTAAAAGCCTTCCTTTCAGACACAGACGGATATGTTTATGAAACTCGAGTAGGGTGTCATGCAAGTCTCAAATGAATTCATTAAGAGTATTGGATTGACCTAATGGCTTCCCCCGCGACGGGCACTCAAGTGAAAAGCATCTCATTCCAACGTCACATAACAAACCAACCATACAATTAGAGTCTGTTAAATCCGTTGGTATATTGCTCAGGGTTGTTTATGAGACAATACTGCAATGCATGATGTTTTCAACGGAACATGTCAATACGGCCGCTTCACAATAGCGCGCAATCAAGAGTTTGCAACGCGTCGGCCAATCACAATATACGAAATTTGTCGACCCAATGCGCGTTTGGAAAGGGTCGACAAATTTCGCACGTTATGATTGGCCAATGTATTGCAAACTCTTGGTGGCGCACTATTGTGAATCGCCGGTATTGTTATCTGCATTGGAGACTTTTTTCTGAAAAAAATGTAAGAAAATGAAGCTATTACACAGGACTCCTACCTGACCATTCTTTTGCCGAACGATTTAACAGAGTAGTTGCCTGGATTCTGCATGGCTGGAAAACTGCTTAGTTTGATCTTGAGACCACTGTGATAACACAACAAAATATTGCCACATGGAAAAAACACAAATGAAAAATACACCCACGTTAAAATGCACGACTGTTTCATGTTTAAATGCTTTTCACCAAGTTTCACTTTGACAGTAGGAAATTACTCTGAATCGAGAGGGCTTGAAGTAAGGAATTGATATTTTTTGTTCACCTTTTGACTGTAGCAAGTCCCATGTAGCAATCCTCCGATATGTACTTCGCTAATTCTTCGAAACCGCCGGCCGCGGCAATGACACTACGTCTGAGGAGATTAGACATACCGGTGACACAGGTGAATCCCAAAATGTTTATGCACACATACAAGCGAGCATGGGACCCACCAAAGTATGCCTGCGGACAAAAAAAAAGATTTGGGTAATTAATGAAAAGAACTGAAACCTTTCTGTCTTTTTGTTTAAAAAATGCACATGTATTCCGTGATAATGAAACAGAACCAAATCCACAATCAGTAAAAAAGGAAGAAGAAAACCCATTCTAAAAATAAAAAGTAAAGGCATGGATGTACCTTGTCTAGCGTGGCGCCAAACCCTTTTCTGTTACAGCAAAAGGGAAGTGCGTGAATCAAGCCGGCATCAGGAGTCATGTTGTAAACCATCTCCGTCAAAGTGTTCGCGTAAACTGATAAGAACAATAGGAACGAAAATCAGATACGACAGTATCGCTTTAAACTGAGAGTTTGTGTTTAGAAACCCAAGTTCTCTTCGGTGGTTATCATCTGTCCAGTTGTGAACAACTTCCCCTGTCAGTTGTGTTAGCATCTAACGTTATCTTTTTCTATTTACTTTGCAAAAATTTGTTTTGGAGGGACTTGGCCATACACACGGCATGAAGCACAAAGCCCGAACAAATCTTGCAAGCCGACCAAAAAGGCCAGAGTTTATCCTAACTTCACAGAGGGGGGCCGTTCAAGGTTGTTTTGATAAACTTCAAAGTAAATTCTCTGAACTTACCCATTTTTATTCCACTATCACTTATCATGATGAGATCGTAACGCGACGCACAGTATCCTGGCATCAGGTTGTTCAATTTTGGATTATTTCCAACTTTACAACCACCTGTATTCACAGGAAAATTTCGAGATCAATGATTGCTTGCCCAACATTTACATCAAAGACATGATGACTCTGAATAAACGGAAAAATTGAATTAACTGATCAGATTGACTAAACAAGTGTATTTCAAAATCCTCTAATTCACGAAGTAAAATCTTTTCGTTTAAAGTGTTTCATCAAACAACTGCACTGGCTTTCATGTCACTCACCAACGAAAAGTTTGGCATCAACGTGTGGATATCTTTCCATTAGCGATTCAACTACTTTGCGTGCGGGGTCGTTTTCCTCTTGTACACAAAAAAGAAGCTCAAACTGTAAGGAAAGGCCAAAGAAACAGAAGATACTTGAGAACAAGGAGGCTTAATGGAAAGGAAAGTAGAGAGTCTTATCTTTACTCCACTTATACAAACACCTTCTTGTAATGGGCAATAGCACAGCACTGGATAAGGCCAGTTACCATGGCTAAAATCGGTTGAAAACCGATAACAGAATTGCCTCGCCAGCCATTTCAAAAACTAGAACGCTTCATCGGAGGATTCGACGTCCAGGAAAACAGAGGAGATAAAAATAATAAAAATGCTCTGAAAAACCTGTGCCCCAAAACATTGAGAATTCAGGGTATTGGGCTTCACCCTGACTTTATTGAATATTTATGCCAATAAAATAAATGTACGTGTGTCGCGGGAAGACTGCTTGCTAGAACTGATTTCAATACTCCTTTCTTCCCTATTATATACAGATCCCACGCCCCGTTACGCAACAAGGTATGCGTTGCTCGAATTTCTAAGACAATAGTTTCCCGCTATTCTCCGAAACGCGGGAAACAGATATTAGTTAGTTGCTGATGGGTCCAGATGAGCGTTACTGTACAACAACCGATGCTCTTGCCGGGTGGATACACGTATGTGCGTTACAACCGCATACTAGTGTCTTGCTGGGTGCGGTTCTGTGTTACGACAGTCATCAATCTTCTCATGGCCTGCAGACGCGTGTTACAAATGATGCACCGATCGTCTTGATGGGTGCAGCGGTACCGACCGTACACAAAGCATGACTGTTATACAAATAGCAACTTGACTCTGCTGTGAATAATACGTCACACTTCGCATCAAGTCATAAAATCACACGAGGCTGACGGCGATATACACATGAATACTGAATTCAATGCAATGAAAATTGACTTGAGGTATCTGCGGGCATCAGTGGCCGCCAACCCCCGAATCTTTCAGAACTTGCCAAAGGCCTGTTCGTACATGTGGGTCTTCACTGGCTGCTCATTAGTCGGGACATTCCCCTCCACCAGGGGTGCTAGTTTTTTTTTAGAATATAATGGAAGGAAGACGATTTAAAGGGGCTGTATGAAAAAGCCCAAAATTTAGTCTCCCTTAAGAAAGGCCATCCATGGTTACTCAATCAAGTTCTTAAATTTCTCCTTCGGAAAAAATTCTGGCCCCTGAAAATTTGATTTTGGATCCGCCCTCTCGCAGAAGTACACGTATAAAGGAACGAAGTTGTGCAGAAGACACTCTGCGTTTTTGTATGCTGTTTATCTGTTTATCATCTTAACATGCAGAAGAGAAAAATGTTACATAATAAATGCGTTACGTATAAGTGGTTGAAAGACGTAATGATTAGCAAACGAACTGAAATTGACTAACAGTGACGTATGTCACGTAAAAAGGTCATTGCTTGTGAATCAAGTCCAAGAAGAAGGACCGAAGTCATATAATTTTTTCCTTGCAATAAATTCAAGAGTCACGTTAAGACGCTCGTATTCAAAATCTCTTTAAACGGCAAACGTGATTTGTTATCAAACAGCCAAACGAACCGTCAATATACTTACTCTGGGATAATCTAATTTGAAGAAGGTCTCCAAGTTGTCTTCTAAGTTTGAATCCACGCCGACTAGTGGTTTGAGAATCGATACGCCAGGTAAGTCTTCCCGAATCACGTGGGTCGGATTTCTGTGCATACAAAGCTTTCTATATGCAAACAGGAATAAAAACGAGCTCTGTCAAAGCAAGATTCAGTATCGAAAAAAAATTAAAACGCTCTGTAGTCTTTACGTTTAAACTCAGAATTCAAAAAAAAAAATTGCAGACATATCGAAATCAATCGGACACATCGATCGTTGAAATGGTGTTAAACTATAGCACGAAACAGGCGAATCTTTTCAGGTTTGTGAAAACTGAACGCGTGGCAAATAGTAAGCGCAATATCCCCAGCTCTATCGGGCTTGAATTACAGAACAAAATGGGCACCAGAAGTTTTGTTTCGCTGTATAAAGAAATAGAATTCAGAACAGGCCAAGTGTTAGTCACGTTAACTGCTTGGTGCACCGATCTCCTCTGAGTTTGGATGTTCTTACATGAAATAAATCAGCTCTAGCAACAGTTTGATACAGTCGTACTGGCTATTGGCCTACTAACAATCTACAAATAATTTGCGGAAATCCTCTAAATTTAACAAAAGTAAAACAAATTCTCAAATTATATTAATAGAAGTATAAGCCATAAAACACCCCAACAAAAACATAAAAAAGAAAACCAAGGCATTCAAAGGCAAGTTGCAGGACTCCACACCAATGCAGTTTTGTTCAACCATTTCCCTGAACATGACAGGCACACTAGTACTAGTAGTCGAGTAATTATTTCATTTCAACATAATGTCCCTTCACTGTACACAGTCACATCAGGTTTAAGGAGCCTATAGACATTACGTAATTAAACGGCCTCGGTCCGCTTGGGTCATGCATGGGTGGACAATATAACCTGTAACAGCGCGATGCCACACTCCGTATAGCGTAGTCGACAACCTGACAGTCATTCCATGCATGCCAGCATTATGACATACACTCAAACCTCATTAATAAGAGGTACTCCGGACTTGGCAAATTATTAGCTTGCTATAACAGGAACTTTGTATCAGGAATGAAAACAATGATTGAAAAAGGGTTGGGACCTAACATTTTCTTGTTCCAAGGAGAATGGTGTTCTAACAGTCCTCTTATTAACGAGATTCGACTGTGTTTATACGCAACTGCTGTTCATGTTGATTATTACCATTGCAAGATTTGTCAAAGGACTCGCTCATGCTCAAACTTATTTGGGAAACCTCGCAATTTAAAGTCATGATTTTGGTTTCTTTAAGTTTTGGCACTTCTAATTACAAACGCAAAATACTCAATGGACTCTTGCAGATTGAATAAATGTTTGGAGCAATATACATGTGTGTATACCTGTACGTATGCATTCGTATCACAGGCTCCCTTCAAATCTTTCATTCAAGTCATTTGAATGACACATCTCGCCAGAATAAATAAAAAATGTAATCTTTGCACCATTTCGAGGGGAAAATGTATTTGAAAATTGATCGTACGTCCTGGGGTATCCAAATGTACCGTTGATTTTACGCTAGCAGTACAGAAAGCAGCTGAACACAGGGTTCATGGATGAGTTATGTCTACAGAAGTACATGTACAATTCCTGTTTGTTTGAATGAAAGGATCAGTGACAATTTCCTAACCATATACATACGATGGGCCCAGCAATTAATATAGCAGCCTAAATGTAGCTCAAATGAATATTATTGGTGTACTAAGGTAATCAGGTATTTGGGCCATATGTCTATGGCTAACAGACGAGGTGGGACAGTAAAACAGTGCGAAAATTGAAAATTTGACGCTTAATTAATTAATCGAGTCGAGGTTCAATGTCATGTAAGCCTGGACTTCAGCTAAAGCTAATAACATTTTTTCTAGGAGACTCTTATCCAGTGGTCTGCAACTGCTCAATGTAACATGTTAATTCTTAGAAACAGAGAGGTGCCTCTAAAAGATTACTATGCACAAAATACATGTAGGCCTCCGTGTTCCACACGCACTAGCCTTCCCGTAAACCAATGTAAACTAAATACATGTTTCATTTCGTACGTGTAGAATTAATTATTCCATGCTGAAACTCATTCCTGGGACTTACAAAAACAATGACTGTAAATCATTCTCAAGACTCGTCATAAACTTTATGTGACCGGTTGAAAATGTTTATTTGTATTTGCCAGCATTATAAATTTATGCACTGAGCATTGATCCATGGAACAAAGATGGAGTCCATGGTCGTAACGTTGACCATTTTTACTTCCACGGTCACATCGCAAGCAAGTAGCTCTATGGTTACACCATAACTGAAAACGGTGCGAGGGTTATGCTGCAGCATGCATTATTCTATTAACTATGGATAACCATGACAAAGGACTGCTGTTAGACCATTCAATTTCACTCGAATTTAGTCATCTGGATGTTGTGCTGGGAACAGAAGGCCAGGGCCGTTTGGGGTGTGTCTGTGCCATTGACGACGGAGTAGTTAATTTATGTGGCCGTTATAGCACAGCATACCATCATGATCGACCATGGGGAATATTTGTTACGTTAATTTTAATGTTAGGTGACTGGTTCTGTACGCAGTCTGTACTTACATGTAGAGAATTGCCATGAAGTGGAAAAGATAAAGGCACACAGCCTCCAGACACACGAAGAACCATGCAAGGCCGAAGACACAGCTATACAAATAGAAGACGTAATCCATGGTCGGACTCGAAGCTGGAAGGGTCCAGTGATTTCTTCAATTCACACCAACGTAATCTGTGAAAACGCCGTTAGGTCCAGGCCATGTCATTTAGGCCTACACAGCATCACACGATTCACACCCCATCAGCTGCGGTAGCCGTTTACAGTCCTCCATTTTTATACGGTGAATCTTCCTCTTTCAACTCCAGAAATAGTCTTACCAAATATCCAGACATTTCAAAGTAAAAAGGTGTAGCTGTTAACACAAGTTGAATCCCTTGTACTGCAATAAAATGGACATGTAGGGACCCTAGGCATCCAGCTCACAGCTCGCGTTAATAATCATGACCTGAGTAATTATTAGGCTGTATACATGTACAATGTGCATGTATACACGGGAAAGACACACGACCACGGTGCAAGGTCCACACCATGTCCACACGAACTGTTTGATCATGGATCCACGGAGCATGTTCAAACACAGAGAGCAAAACAAGAAGGTCACTTGGAGTACGGCAAAGTGATATTCGTCTCAGTGCTGAGTGACCTCTTTATGATGATACCAAAGCTTGCCCAGTTGGCCGACCACAGAATGGCGAAAATGTGTTGAAGTTTCAAGCAAAACGCACGTGACTGTGACTCGAGCTACATGTACACACAACTGAAAACTAAGTGCTACCTGCACATATCGATCGGTGTAAGTGCGAGTCTATTCGAGTGTTGTGGAGACCGCGTGAATTTTGCGTCGTGGATGCGTTCAGCCATCCGTGAATTGTGTAATATGCATACAACGAAACCGCACACAGTCTGTGCACCTACAGAGAGCGGCATGGCAGTCCTTCTGACGTCATCCGTTCACTCGGCCAAGGACGACAGCGAAACTTAACAATGTGAACGAAAATGAGTCACTACGGGATTACCGATTCTTGTCTAAAATGACCTACTCTGAGAATGGAATCTTAACTCTATTTGAAAATGACACACGTGACGCAACATAATTATGCATCGTCAGGATTTTTCCAAGGCAGGCTTTTCTGTGTGGACCCGGGGGGGGGTCACACGCATCAACAGAAAACTAGCCAATAATTGTGGTGGAAGGGTTTCATTCCAGGGTGTTTTCAAGCAGAGTCGGTGATTTTAACCAGTTTTCCTCCTTTTTTGTTTCTTTCGCTTTCCTTTTTTTTCCTTTTCCTTTTTTTTTTCTTAGGGAAAGAACGGAAGTTTCATCACTAGTAATTGTCAAGTTATCCTTCCGTCCCAGAAAAACGAAAGCAAGCTCAAGCACGTGGAACGTCACCACCAATCCTTCCGATAATAAAGCATGAACTTTGTAGCTGCTGCGCCGGTGCAGAAATTTCCTGCTTTCTAGAGTTCTTTTGTATTGCTTTTGAAAAAAAAAAAGCAAAAGAAGTCTATAAAAATAAATTCAATGGCGCCGGGGTTCAGTATTAACAAAAAAGGCGCTCAGAACTTACAGGTAGGGGGATAAAGGTGTCGCTGAAAATAGGATCGGACTGGGCATGTTTGAAAAACTTCACTCTGGAAAAGAAGGGAAGTATAAAAGGGGAAAATTGCGCCGGGTAGGCCTTTACCTCCTGGAATCCGCTACTACGGTGTTTTCGTTATGAGCATCTGTCATTCAAGGGACAGAATTACATGTAAACCTTGTTGTGGGAATCACTCATGCGAAATGGCATGGGGCTTACAACATGTATACATAGGCTAAATTTGTAACTGTTGTCAAAAGAGATGAAGTGCCAAGATACCAAAAGTACAGTACACGTTGTGTACGTCGTTTGTACACTGGGAGTATTTAAACGTTATCCTTTCTATTGCCTGTGACAATACGTATATGTTTTTGTCTCAATGGAAGTTTAGTTGATTTAGAAAGGCGCATGCTTAGTCCTTTCTTGTCTTCAGTGATATCTCTCCAACTGAGTTTTCCTAGCGTAACGCAACAAGCCAAAACATAGTAAGGTCCTGAAAAATCTTTTCTTTTCTGGCATTCCACCGCGGCGATTTCACAATTTTTCTCAAAATTGAGTTTAAAAACAGTGTTCACAACGCTCTTTTTACAGGGGGCCCGATTGCCGTTTTCAAATTAAATAGTATAGATTCTTGCTCTTGGTATCGAAAATACACATAATGATAGTTGTATCCAGCCGAATATACATGTAGCTTTGTTCTCACTCGTGCCCTTGGTATCGATACTACCGATTAGCAGTTGCACTGTAATTCGATTACGTGCAAGTTACGGTGAGCAGGATTATGGATGGTCGTTGCACGGTAACGGCAATCTATACATAAATACTTTGAAGCTTGGACTGGAAGTATCTTAGAAAACTTTGTCGGGCTTGCAGGAACAAAAATTCAAAATTCTGGGTAAACATCAACGTGAGGAAGAGGGAAGTGCTTGAAAGACATTCTGAGCTGAAAAATTCAGTAAGAACAGTGACTCTTCAGTCCACTAGTATATCCTGGGATGTAGCGTAGAAACAGGATTCCCCTGTGTCCTAATTTAAAATATAAGTTCACAATATACAGGTACTCACAAATAAATTGTGTTGCCTAAAATAAAATATAACATTTCTGCGTAGCCCTGATATATGTTACAACACCTGCGATAATTGTTATCCCTCACCTCAGCAGATCTTTAAATCATGTCATCCACAACTTCTGTATGGCAGAGGACAAACAAGCAAGGATGAAGGCTCATAATAGACATAAGTACTGCAGGGTCTGTTGTGGACACACCAGAGCCATAGACCACCAAAGCAACAAAGAACACACCACTTTACAATTCACTTTCAAATATTTGTCATGTCACTAAAGCTAACACTGAAAAGGTTTGGTATAATAAGGGTGGATCCAGACTCTCAGCCTAGCTACCAACAATTTAGGGGTAGCCAACTCAGTTTCATATTTTCACAAGAAAAAATTTGCACATTCTCAAGGTGCATTGGATGCATTATATAAATCTGAGGATTCTAACTCAGTCTTGGTTGACCAAAATATAAAATTACATCTGATTTAAAAAAAAAGAGCTGTTGTCTGTTATTTTAAACACAATCTTATTACAGTGTACAAAAAAAATTGTCTCCTGATATGATAAATGCAGTTTTACAAGGCCTCTCAAGTACTGCAGAAATAAAATGATGACATGTTCCTATAGTGAAACCCTTATAGCTCCAATGCTGATATCCTTGATCAAGATCCTATTTATTGCTCTCACATCCAGTATCACAAGCTAGAAAGGGAACAGTCAGTAACAGCACAACTATACATTTGAACTTGTGGGAACAGTGATTGTAAAAATGAAGCAAATTCAGTTAAATTTTATTAGTTATCTGACAGTGAAAATGCTATCGATTCTTCCCAGTTGCAAGTATAGTTCGCAGATAGGTAGTTCAGGTACCGAATTAAAAGTTATTCTTTTACACTATGTAGCTGCGGATAACCCATGACAATTCCACAGATCTGTACAAACAAAATGCATTCAACAAATGGGAGACGTTGAAACACTTGATGGCAGCGGTCCATGCACTAATGTTTATGTCATAAGTAACAAACGCATGCAGGCTCAAAATGGCGTTAACAAGAGTGGACTGGTCATGTCGGACCATGTTTGCAGTCACAACAAGCCTTTCAAAAGTTTCATGCCATGACAAGGCAGCATGTTATGTGGAACTGTACGATTGTGAACCAGGACAAGGTATATGCCACAGTTGTACGTGCCTGTTATTGATGTCGAGTGAATTCATTCCCCTCCCCTTCCATTTGGCTGTAAATCTTATTGCACAGACTGATGAACTGTGATATTGACTGAACGCAATGGTGCCACACATAAAAATAAAATACAAAATAAAGTCAATGGAAAAAAGAAACACTTTATTTACCACTCTCAGAAAATTCCCACATGTTACATGTCAAGTTGGACAATTTATTTACATAATGCGTGCCTACACAATAAATGTAGTTCCCTGCTCACTTTCCAAGAAACTGTATCCGCAAGTCCAAGTCACAGTTATACGGCAGACAATGACACATCAACCTATGGAAGCCACTCGCCCTGAGGATGCCGTTATTGCTCATTCCCAAGTTGCTCTAAGCCACAGCCACTACACGCAAACGTGTCCTTTTCCCAGAAAAACCCAATATTGGGGGAAATAAAGTAAAAAAAAAAAAGGAAAGAAAAAAGAGGGGTGGTCTTCTGCCAGATTTTTAGAAGGGAAAAAAAGTAACGGTTTTAATCACAATTTTAATAATTCCTAACATATTTTAAATTGTCAAACAACAAGAATCGTTACATTAAAAGTCAAAGTTTTATTTCAATTGACGTGGTCAACTCTTATAGCTCAGTTGCCTATAGTTGGTATCAGGCATTTGGTATTCTGCACACTTGCATGGTCTAGCCTTGTTAATCACATATGCAAACTTGTCACAGTGCCGATTTCAGTACCCTTAACACCGGTCTAGTTTGTTCACTCATCTCTGTCAATAACATCACAAGCTGTATACCATTGCAAAGAGGGCATTCTGCTCTTTCTAGAGATATATTCTCTTTCTCATATATAAAGTAGTTTTGCTACTACAGTAACTTTTATCTCGGTATACTTTTTATGTGGACACCCTGTATTGTGCACGCCCATCGAGTTGCTGGGATGATTGTTGCTAATCACAATGAGGTTTAGTCACTCCAGACGTTCCAAAGCGACCCTCAGACTTACAGTGATGAGGATATTTGAAATTTCATTTTTGTAGTCCTTGTTATGCTTATAGGCCTATGTCTTCTCATTTGTGGGCAATTTTGACCCATGTAAACCCCTTGCAACCTCTCAAGTAAACTACCAGTTTGTGAACGTTTTCACCATTGTAATACATCCGGTGTTTCGAGTTATCTGTAAATGCTTTTCCCAGCAAAGTAGTACTGTATGAAATAAGCAATGGAAATGTACAAGGTGGGTCATTTTTAGTTCCAGGCATCAGTTCCATTGTGCACATTTCCAGCATATATGGTTTCCTAAACGGCTGTGTGAGTCCTCTTTGTTCAGTTTCAAACGAATTAGGTGGAATAGGATGTACTGCAAAATCGCCCCCCCCCCCCAATTTAAGTAATATTTTTAAAGGCAAGATATACTTCTACGGACAAAATGTCAACTTGAATGAATTCTAAATTTGGAGTTCTCAGGAAAAATCGGTAATGTAGAGTTACATGTACATAAATTGACAGGAACGGAGTACATTCATGCACCTACAACGTCAGAATTTCTCTTCAAGGGCAGCCACCCGAATGTCGCAGGTTCAAACCCTGCCCCCAAATTACAATGCATCTAGTCCTGTAATTTACCGTTACATTTGAAAGACAGGGAATTGTGTAGTATGGCTGACACTTGGATAGGCATTAATCTTGGACACATACACCATTTCTGGATTGAAAATGTAACGAAACTTTATATCATTTTGTTTAATGCATTCAAATGTCCTAATCTGATTTGTTTTAGTGTATTACTGATTCGAGCAAGTTGGGGTAACATTATGAAATATGAGAAACAATCTCATCAACTCGAGCCATGGTAAATACAGGATTAGTAAAATGAGGAAGACTAAGTTTCTGGGTATTATATTTGTGTGCAGTGCCTGGGCATTGGTTGAAATACGTCTAAGATTGTTCTATTTTTGGCACATTATTCTGTCGTAATACATGTAGTGAACGTGGGTTTCAGGTTGCAGATCAAATATCCATGCCACCAAAGACCTCAGCAAAATACACC